TCATCAACAAAGGGCACATGCTCGTTAATCCAGCCGCCAAACCCCCTATTTATGAATAAAAAAACGATTTATACATGACTCAACTAAATGACGTTCGAGCATTTCTCGAATAGTGCTTCGCTGACGACCTCTGTTCAAATCTTTGTTCTGTGACGACTTTTGTTGGAACCACAACGCTGTAAATGCTTCACACACGTACTACAAATACAAATAATCGCAAACAGAACATAAACACCTAACTATGCACAGAACTTTAATACATAATAATAATAATTTATATATATGAGAACAACCCTATTTTCAATACACAGTATGTTAAACTTGATGAAGGTGTCTAGGGGGTCGGCCACCGATTTAACCAACCTGGACTGAGGACAGGTTTCCAAAGCACATCGAAATGTATACATATTTGTAACTTTACTATTTAAATAGTGTACAAAAACGAATATAACAAACAGCTCTATCACTCAATCCGTCCGGAATACGTAGTTGTCAAATTGATCGTTACAAAATAAAAACAGAGTTGGGGAAGGGTCCTTGAGAGAGAATGTTGCCAAATATAAGCCAATAGTAGTTTAAACTAACTAGTTTTAAATCCATATGGGCCACCCGTCTGCGAACACACACAACGGAGGAAATCAAACCACAGTAATTTACAGTCACGGTGAATGATGCAGCTTAATGTTTAATTTATTAATACACGCAAATATTATATGCTTATTATAGACTGAACAAATACAAAAAATTACGCTTTTGACTTGAAAGTGGTCCGCGATGCCTCATGGCACCGTCTGTAGGACGATACAAAGGCATTCCATAACAAAAAAAATGAATAAGCAATATTGCAATAATGGTAGTAGTAAATTATGGTCAGTATAGATACAAAAAAACGGGGGGGGGGAGGGCTTAGAAACAAAATTTCGCAAAATGCCTTATCTTTTCCCCCACACACCGTCCTTGGCGTCTTGTTGCCAGGCTTATCATGAATTCCAAATCCCTCATCTTGCCACGGGATCAGGGGGATTCCAATTCAATTACCATCTTTGTGTTCGGCCATAATTATGAAAACTCTGAATGTAAACACGCCCTCCGGCCTTGCGATGATAGCGTAATGATGGCGTGCGAGGATTCTTATCGCTCACACGCGTGGGCAGAGACCTCCACGCGCGCCTCACGCACACGCATACATGAACACACGCAACGCTCTTAATTTCTCTTAGGGACTATTAATGCTCATGCCACCTCTTGGGTGGCTTAATCTTCATCAATCAATCAATCTTAATTTCTCTCACACACCTTAGTAATTAGAGGCGAACACCAAGTTATAAACTTACACAGTTAAGTAGTAAAAGTCAGTTCGCAGAGTCCTGGGACTGCCACAAAAGAAACAGTATATACCCTGATATTCACCTAAAAACAAAACCGCTCTTGACTTATTGCACAGTAACATATCTCAAAACAAATGGATGGACGCTGCCGAGGTTTCGGAAAGTATGAATTCCGACAATGAAGGCTGGAAGGACAAGGCCAAATAAAAACTTACATTCTAGATAATAAAACCGGTTCGAGGTGTCCTTGTAGTAAGCCCTCCTCCCCACATACTCCACCTATGTGGTTCACAAAGCTTGGGTGATAGATGAAGGTCGTGCTACAAGCACACACACACACACAGCAGGGTTTAGGGTGTTCAATACCTGGCTAACTTACCACGATACATTTTCGTCGAGTAATGCGATACGAGTGATATTAAATGGGTTGCTGAGTTAGACGTTATCACACTGCTATCCAAATGTTTTTATATAAGATGAAGAGGAAAGATAGGAGTGTTAAGAGGTCCCGGAGACCAGCATCGCCCCTTAGGACCTTCACCTCTCAGAAAGTTAGTGTGGTGCGTCTCGCTCCACTGGTCACACCGTCTGACCACACAGCCTACAGACACCATGGGGCTGGGTTGCCCACCCCGCGGCCGACACACGCTGTACCCCATCTTTTGTTCCCACTATGACCACGGATGGAGTACTCCCCACAATATGGTTCAAGTCTCGCCGTGTCTGACCAAACGCCAGACACCAATGAAAGAGGGCCACCCGACCCCTCCCTCGCGCCTCAATTCCCAATAAATTCGAGGTTATTGCTGAGTTCCATCAAAAGCTCTCGTAGTATTTATTTAATATTGCAGTTCAAAGGCGCCAGCGGCGAAACACACAATACAAATTTGTTTCCATTAAAACACTACAGTACCGTAAGCCTAAGAGGTATCACGTATTCTAAAAGAGCAGAATCAAATGCACATATTGGACACAAAATGGGTGTTTATTTTGCTAGACCATCGTGACTCTCTATGAACGGAAATGTGGCATAAATAGGGATAATATATGTTAATATCGTAGCCGCAGTGAGCCTGGCGGCCAACGATATTCACATTTCGAAACAATATAATTTTCGAACTCGGTCTAACTGAACCTGATAATATTCATTCTGCCAGAAAACTAAAAAAGTGATAATAATTTCTTATGCGTCATGATGTTCAGACAAACGTGACGGTGAGAGCTGAGAATATCACTGGTGCCTTGTATAGAGACTGTTGGGAGCCTCTTGCTGAATCACTTGTGATAAAAAAAGATTATTGATATGTATATGTATTTGTGTACATGAATGTATATATATGTAAATGTGTATGTAATATTAACAACTGTGTAATTAACTTCACAAGACTGTCATTTGCTTAGCTAAACGAGCTATGGGTTCAGTTCCTGAACAGATTATGTGCCTCTGTAACCCTTTCCACCACCGCCCACGGGATCGGTATGGGGTGCACAATAAAGAAATGGAATGAAAAAATGGTGGGAGTATCACATCACCTTCACGCTAACACTGAATAATTTATATACTCCTCTCATCTACGCGAATATGTAAAAATCGTACAATTTGTTAATACTGTACTGCTTACGTTTACTTGGTATAATTCATTTATTATACATCCAATGTAAATATATTAGTATTGTTCATTTATTATGCAGCCTATGTAAATGTAAAACAATGTCCAACAAATTGAGTTAATTTTACCAGGAATACACATACTGCACATTTCGAACAGTAAATTATTACCAGTTATTTTTCAAAATTGTACTCACATTGTGCCTGATTTGATAGCTATCTGGTGTATAATGGGCAAGCAATTTATAAATTATGCAAATTATTGAAATTTCTGTGCATTTATGAATATATCAAATATTAATAGAATGACTACAGTGGATATTTATTGGTCTTATATCCTTTAAAGCTTAACGAACTAAAAAAATAAGTTTTGCAAAATTAAAGTTATTTAGGATAAAACCCCACTCTAGTGTATATGTGAAATTTATAAAAGAAATTTTACACCAAATCTTTCGCACTTTCCTGAGAGCTTTATCAAGGTCTGAGTGTGTGATTAGGTACCTAATCACACACTCAGACCTTGACAAAGCCCTTAGGAGAGTGCGAAAGACTTTGTGTAAATTCCTTACATAAATTTCATATACACAAGTGTGGGTTTTATCCTGTTATGTCTGTAAGAAGACATTACCATTACTAATTAAAGTTATTATTAGTATCTTTATCCAAATGAGCCTATTTACATGGAGTTATTTATATTTCTTAATTAAAATAATATAAATTAGTGTCCCGCGGTGCCTTGCTAGAAGAGCAGAGTAGCGTAATTCGAGTCTGGCCAACCTTGCCGCAGCTGCAGCGCCAACTGGAGACAGTAATCACTGCAGGGTGTCGTTAAGTAATTACAGCAGCCAGGCAGCGAGTTCATTAAGAGTAAGAGTAAGAGCAGCGAGGAAGTCGCTGGAGGTAATGGTACAAGATAGACTGCTGCAGTAACGCCTGGAGATAGATAGGCTGCCACAAAAATTGATGCGGTTAGCCGAAAACATTAATCGGATAATCTAGTCTTTTTTTATAACACATTTAGGTACAGCTGCATTGTGCAGCTATCCTAGACTATATAAAGGGAGGTACAGAGTGTGTCAAGAATTCATCACACAGGATGGTCAGCCATACAGAGGCATGTGATCAGTAGTCTGCACTTGCAAACTTTGGTTCCATTATGAGGATTTGATTGTTGCCGCCTGAGGCGGCCAGTTTATTATGCACCCCATGCTCATCCTGTGAGCGGTAGCGCAAAAGCATTACAGAGGGCATAAAAGGTCTTATCAGACCTCATTTTAGATTACATAAATAATTTCATTTATCCTTCACACCTTATAGTTACATGTCAGCTAGTTACAGAGAATGTTCTATTTCAAGAGCAATATATTTACAGTAAGTCATTATACATTAATGGTAGGTCTTATCGCTAATACATAATTGTTTGAGCAATAGAGATATTAATCATAGGGGAGCTGCTGCTTATTATTAGTCTTCACAATACCGAGTTTCTTAATCTCATGTGTCATTTATCTACTGGGAGCGAAATATGGATACAGCACAAGAATTTCCATTATGAGGATATCAGGATCCAGCTATTTTGGTGAGGATTATAACTCCACGGGCACCACCCACCATCACAGACTGGCCACTATCCAGCCGGCTGAAGGTCCATATATCTCGGCAATGTGTTTAATAACGCAAATTGATATTACAAGAATTTGAACATACCAAATAGCCTGTCCTTTTAGGTTACTATAAAAACTAGTATTAAATTCAGATGAGCTATTTAGGCCTAGGGAATGGCTGTGCTCAACTAATGACAGTGGAATGACAGTGAAGGCGGAGAAGGGTATATAGCCTAGGGCCCCTAGGCCGAGGGCCAGTTTACGGCCGTCGACCATCGTCTTAACAAAAGCCAAAGGGAAGTTTGGTTAGGAGGATGCGGTCCATGCTGGACACACTCAACGTAAGTACCTCTAGTGAATTAACCGCGACGAACATGAATTATCCAGTTATCTCTACTCCATGCCACCCATTCACACAACTTTTACAACCACAGTACTAAAAAAAAAGGAGTTTCTGACCTGGTGGACACATGCAGCCTTCACCAGAGACGTCCCTGGACACCTCTCTCACCACCCTGGTGTGGGTAGGTGGGGACATGGGCACCTGGAGGCCTAACTGTTGGAGTCGATGCTCGAGGCGGGCCTCTAGCTCGCCCTCCAGTCGGCCCACTCTCCACTCAAGGTCAAGGTGCCTCCAGCCGAGGAAGCCCCACGAGGACAAGCTAAAGAGCACGAAGGCGGAGAGCCACGGCACGCGGCTACCCCGAGGGCCACCTGTCGGTATATAAGTGGAGGAGGACTTGACCTTCTTGGAGTCCCCCTCCGTCACCGCTGCCGCCACCTTTTCCATAATCCCAGGGGGAAGCGACTTCAACTCCTGGCTGTACCCTAGTGGAACCTGCACTCCACGAGGATCTCCAAAGTACTGTCACGCATGTGTGTCACTCACTACTGGCTAATAAAGATCACTAAACTCACTGCCCGCCACTCGCGAGCCGAAAGAGTAACGGAGGGGCTCGTAATCAACACACTCTACAACCATCAACGCCAGATGACACAAGGGAAGCGATCGTATGCGAGGCTCACATCTGCCCGGAGGAGCGGCCAACGTCCGTCCCCTCTCACTGCTTGATCACAACTGAGGCTGCCGCCGGGGGATCACTGCCAGCGACCTCTGGAAACCGCCGCATCACGTCTGGGTGGAGTACAACATTTTTCATATGGAATATTTAAATGCCAAGCTGCTTAACTTCGGCCAACTTCCTCTACTCCGATAAATTTCATTAACAACTTGTTAACTTTATGGCTAAAATTCATTAATGAGAGACTTAAACGAGGTTATCCTATGTAGAGTGTGAACGAGGCGCCGAGGCGAGCAGAGGCGAGTATGCTTCACCAGCTTCCATGTTGCTTTACAGGGTTCCAAGAGGCATAATTAAAACGAACTGGTTCTCCAACTAAAAAAAAATATCTGGCCGTCTAAATATCTGCCAAGAACGGTTGCAGAAACATTGTTTAGATAACGCCTCTTGTCCATGGCCCTACGAGGTTGTTTATAACAATAATAAGCTTGGGGTTGTGCAGTTTCGAAGCTCATAAACTCTTTAATAAATGTCAACCAAGCCGCCATGATTATGGAAAGATGTACGGGTTTCGCAGGTAGTTAATAAATGCTTGACGAATCCTGGCCTGATCGGCCAGACTGTATTCACCTAGTTGTGCTTGCGGGGGGTTGAGCTCTGCTCTTTCGGCCCGCCTCTCAACTGTCAATCAACTGTTTCTGCTACTATTTTTTTGTCCCACACCCCACACACACACACACACACCAGGAAGCAGCCCGAGACAGCTGACTAACTCCCAGGTACCTATTTACTGCTAGGTAACAGGGGCATAGGGTGAAAGAAACTCTGCCCATCGTTTCTCGCCGGCGCCCGGGATCGAACCCGGGACTACAGGATCACGTGACCAGCGTGCTGTCCGCTCGGCCGGCCGGGTCCCTTAGTTGCTGTATAGCCCCTATTAGGACCAACAGTCTGGCTGATCAGATATAATTCGAAAGTGTCAAGCTTGAAGTATCTGTTGGTAATTTGTCTTATATTTGAATAAAGTGAATTGAAACTCTCGTAGGCTCTTTATGCTTATCGTAGGATTTTGTTCATTTATTATAAATATCATATTGTATTATTATACCCTTACGTTTCATTGGAATAATTTTGCATACCCTATTGTAAAAACTGGTAAGAGCAGAATATGAAAAAACAAGATAAGAGAAATGGAAAGCAACAAAAACACAATAGAAAATTAAACATAGAAAATGGGTAGACGAGTAAACGAAAATGGGAAACCACGAAAAAATACAAGATACAAAACATATATTCTCTGAATAATCTCTAAAGTATACTTCTTGTCTCCCTTGATATACACTGGAGCTATTGTATACACCCTACTGTGCAAAAGAAAATTGAAAGACACTTCGCATCCATTGTTCATGTTCATAAATGGTCTCTCTTGTCATTCGACATAAACTAAACATTTAATTCTAACATTCTATCGACTTGAGAATGGTCCAGGACGGACCGAAACGTTGTCGTCCCTTCACCTTCTAGTGTGTGGTCTGGTCAACATTCTAACATCATACTTCTATAGCGAAGGTACGGTCATTGTCCACTAACTCGCACCGCAGAAATCTAGCAGCAGCGCTAAATAAAGTCAGAGGAAGGTTTGCCTGTAATACTTGTTGGACCCGTACAACTTCGCCCCGGCGTCCGTACTTCACTTAGACATTCAAAGTGCAGTACGGACTCTCTCTCTCTCTCTCTCTACTTTACTTGCTATTCCTTTGAACCTTATTTGATAGGCTATCACTTCATGGTCACATTTATCAAATGTCTTTGCAAATTTCGTGTATACAACATCTGCATTTTGTTTTTTCTTCTAATACTTCAGTGATTTTGTTATAATGGTGAAATAATTGCGAAAGACAAGATCTTCCCGCTGTAAATTCAAGTTGACCCGGGTTGTGAAGTTCATTGTTCTAAATTACACAGAAGATTTGACTCCTAATCACTCGAGATCTCAAAACTTAAATTATATTGACTGTTAGAGCAATCGGTCTATAATTTTTAGCTAACACTTTGCTTCTTTTCTTACGGAGTCGAGCTATATGTTGATTTCAAACGATAATAATAACGGGATATTAAGAATTTCATATATAGAAACCATCACATATACTTTAAAATCAATATAAACCACACACAGTTTAATTTCCCAAAATCTTCACTTTCAAACTAATTAATACCACTACATTCCCTGTTCCAAATTATTATAATTTTAATTGCACGTGCAATAAAATTGTCTCTTCATTTTGCTGAGCTCTTGGCAAATGTTTGTGTTGTTCATGAGGAAGTTGAAGGAGTGTTGTTGTAGGCTGCTCCCGGGATGACACCAGCAGCTGCAGTCATGTTGGCGGATAAATATTTGACGGCTTGTACAACACCTTCGTCCAGCACGCCAGCTTAAACCTCTTGACCCCCAAGGGTATCCGCCAGCTTAAAACACCTTGACTCAAGCGTCTCCACCAGCTTAAAACACCCGACTCAAGCGTATTCGCCAGCTTAAAACACCCGACTCAAGCGTATCCGCCAGCTTAAAACACCCGACTCAAGCGTATTCGCCAGCTTAAAACACCCGACTCAAGCGTCTACTCAAGCGTCTCCACCAGCTTAAAACACCCGACTCAAGCGTCTCCGCCAGCTTAAAACACCCGACTCAAGCGTCTCCACCAGCTTAAAACACCCGACTCAAGCGTCTCCACCAGCTTAAAACACCCGACTCAAGCGTCTCCACCAGCTTAAAACACCCGACTCAAGCGTCTCCACCAGCTTATAACCCCTGATCCAAGTGAATAATTTTTGCTTAAAACTCCTATACCCAAGCGTATCCGCCAGCTTAAAACCCTTGATTTACTCTGTTGCAATGTTTTATATGTTTAACCTCGGCAATACCTTTCAGTTTATGCGAACGCTCGAACAATCCGGATCTTTACAAAACAACTACTTTTTTTTCAGTCACGCTTTGGTAACCATTATGCAGATAGGACGTGTGCTGTGCACGGCAGCTTTTGTTCAGTCTATTAATGTGCAGTGTTTTCGGTAAAGAAAACTGTGTATTTATGTGCATGTGTACTGAGTTAATTGTGTCTGCAGGGCCGAGCTTCTGCTCCTGAGCCCGGTCTTCTGGGGCCAGATTCACGAAAGCACTTACGAACCTGTACATCTTTTCTCCATCTTTGGCGGCTTTGTTTACAATTATTAAACAGTTAATAAGCTCCGAAGTACCAGGAGGCTGTTTATAACAATAACAACAGTTGACTGGGAAGTTTCATGCTTGTAAACTGTTTAATAAATATAACCAAAGCCGTCAAAGATTGAGGAAAGATGTACACGTTCGTAAGTGCTTGCGTAACTGCTTCGTGAATCTGGCCCCTGAGCTGTCAACCACCTAATGCAGTGATTCCAAACCCATTAGATTTATATCTTATTTGCTTTTAAATTTGCATGACATTATTCTCGATTACATTCACCAAGTCATCCCGTTTCTTTACTGATTTTTGACCAAAGAAATGTTTCGTTACATCATCTGTGTCAACTTCATCTCTAGTGACCATCAATTGCCTCTCATTATGCTTTTGCATCTGCTAAACCATTCATCCTTATCCAATGTCAACACCTCTTAGGATCTTATAGGCCACAATCACGTCTCTTCTTACTGTGTCCATCATCATTCTCATACTTTCAATCTTTACAGTTATACCAGTTTGTAACTGTAATACCTGTAACTGTAATCTTTACAGTTACAAACCAGTCTGCAACTTCAATTGTTTTGTCTTGTGAATTTTAAAATGAATGTTCCATGCGGGAGCCGCACCTTTCATTGCTAGTAGCCTCATAAGAAGTGTAGTTCTCGAAATGCCTCTTCTGGAAGCTATTGAGAGAGAGAGAGAAAGAGAGAGAGATAGAAGACAGAGAGACAGACAGAGACAGAGAATAATGCTTCCTTTTACTTATGCAATTAAATAAAATGAACACTTTATTAACTGCTGGCAAGTTTCAGTGTTTTACAGATGTTAATGTTGAACATACAGGTGTTGAGACCTCTCTCTCTCTCCACAACCTGCCCCCTAGACACACACACTACACTCTCCCACCACACACTAAACCCCGCGGACACTCACAAGCTGCTTCTCTCCTGCGGTCTATCCAGACCTATCCACCCCAACCTCCTAAAATGAGAGTATTTATAGTAACTATTTGGTGGAAAGTATCAATATGTAGTGATGGACCACCAGAACGTTGACTTTTGTATTACTGAATTTGTACAAACCAGAATTTGTTTTAACCGCAACATAAATAGAAGACCTAAATTAACATAACCTCTCCTAGCAATTCTATGCCTAATACATGTTATGGTAGGCCTACTATAGTACATATAAGTGCTATACTATGCTTAGGAATATGTAAGTTTGGTTTTAACTATTTTAAAATTATCAATTAAAAAATATTTATACAATAAGTGGCTTACTGGTGGTCCATCACTACATATTGGTACTTTCGACAAAATAGTTACTATAAGTACAGTCATTTCAGGAAAATGGATTGACTTATAAGGCAAGTCGAAACTGCGCTTAATTCATGAGATTTTCCAATACCTTTGCGGCTCAAAATTCACTCTCGTATGTGTGATACAGTATTTGTCCTCTCACAATTCTTTACTATGTACTGAAATTATTCAACGCCACACTTCACACAAATAAATTGATTTCAGAAAGATAAAAATTTAATTACATCCAAATTTGTTCTTATCCATCGTTTAATATTAACTAACATTTCATACTTTAAGGTAAGCACTAGTTACTACGTATACTCAGCATTCAGCAGCATCATAAGAAGTAGACTTTTTTAAATAGCATTTCGCCTGTAAGGACTTCGTCAAATCTGAATCTATAAAGTTCTTTCAGACGAAGAGTTATCTCTAAGTAAAATTTACTCTGATCTTGGCGTTTACATCACTGTCAGCACTTTGTGCCCTGCTCAACTAGCCTCATAACACCGTGAAAATCCCCGGTCCCCCTCAGA